TGGTATGATACCCGCAAGGATCTGCCGGCGAACCTCAAGGGTGACAAGGCTCCCGTGGTGGGAGTCATTCTCCAGCGCAGCCACATCGTGACGGGTGACGACGCGCACTACACCGCTGTCGTCATGGAGATGGAGGCGCGCGGCGCTAAGGTCGTGCCGATTTTCGCGGGTGGGCTGGACTTCTCGAACCCCGTGGAGCGCTTCTTTTACAACCCCATCTCCAAGAGCACCATGGTCGACTGCGTCGTGTCGCTCACGGGCTTCGCGCTTGTGGGAGGCCCCGCCAGCCAGGACCACCCGCGCGCCGTGCAGGCGCTGCAGAAGCTCGACGTGCCGTACCTGGTGGCGCTGCCGCTGGTGTTCCAGACCACGGACGAGTGGATGGACAGCTCCCTCGGTCTGCACCCGATCCAGGTCGCTCTGCAGGTCGCTCTCCCCGAGCTCGACGGTGGCCTCGAGCCCATTGTCTTCTCCGGCCGTGACAGCAGGACCGGTGAGCCTTTGCTGAATGCGTCTGCCTGAGTTTTTCCGTTTTGTTGAAATGATATCGCGTCTCCTTCGACATGCGAGCTCGTACGGCTGCCGTATTGAAGGGATCTCGGGAGCCGTTGCGCTCGTCATGACTCACTCTTCGTGTGTTGGTATCCCGTGCAGGCAAGTCGCACGCCCTGTACGACAGGGTGGAGCAGCTGTGCACCAGGGCCGTCAAGTGGGCCGAGCTCAAGCGCAAGCCCAAGGTAAATCTTTTCTCCAATTTCCGATCTCGCTCTCGCGGTCCGTTCCCTCTCGCCTAATCTCTCGTCAGTGTCCTTGAGATTTACAAGGACCGTGGTCTTCGCTTCATTGCCCGATCATGTCGCGGCTTACTCACCGACATTGCGCGTTCGGTGCGCGTTTCCCTTAACCTGCGCAGGCCGACAAGAAGCTGGCGATCACAGTGTTCAGCTTCCCCCCCGATAAGGGCAACGTGGGCACTGCGGCGTACCTCAACGTCTTCTCCTCCATCCACTCCGTACTTACCGAGCTCAAGAAGGACGGCTACAACGTGGAGGGCCTGCCCGAGAATTCTGAGGCGCTTATCGAGGAGATCATCCACGACAAGGAGGCTAAGTACAACAGCCCGGACCTCAATATTGCGTACAGGATGGAGACGCGCGAGTACGAGCGCCTGACACCGTACCACAAGGCGCTGGAGGAGAGCTGGGGCAAGGCGCCCGGGAAGCTCAACTCGGACGGGCAGAACCTTCTGGTGTACGGGCGTCAGTTCGGGAATGTGTTCATCGGCGTGCAGCCGACCTTCGGGTATGAGGGCGACCCCATGAGGCTGCTGTTCTCCAAGTCCGCGTCTCCCCACCACGGCTTTGCGGCATACTACACCTTCCTGGAGCACATCTTCGAGGCGGACGCTGTGCTGCATTTCGGAACCCACGGATCGCTGGAGTTCATGCCCGGTAAGCAGGTGGGCATGAGCGACATGTGCTTCCCGGACTCGCTTATCGGGAACATCCCTAACGTGTACTACTACGCCGCGAACAACCCCAGCGAGGCGACGATCGCGAAGCGCCGCAGCTACGCCAACACGATCAGCTACCTGACGCCGCCCGCGGAGAACGCCGGGCTGTACAAGGGCCTGAAGCAGCTGAGCGAGCTCATCTCGTCGTACCAGGGGCTCAAGGACACTGGCCGCGGGCAGCAGATCGTGAGCTCCATCATCTCCACGGCGAAGCAGTGCAACCTGGATAAGGACGTGGAGCTCCCTGAGGAGGATGCCGTGCTCGAGGCAGAGGAGAGGGACACCGTGGTTGGCCGGGTGTACGGTAAGCTCATGGAGATTGAATCTCGCCTGCTCCCATGCGGCCTGCACGTGATCGGCGAGCCTCCGTCCGCCATGGAGGCGGTCGCGACTCTGGTGAACATCGGCGCGATTGACCGTCCTGAGGAGAAAATCCGGGGTCTTCCTGGTATTCTCGCCCGCGCCGTTGGGCGCGACATCGAGGACGTGTACCGCGGCAACGATAAGGGTGTGCTGAAGGACGTGACCCTCCTGAACGACATCACCCAGGCGTGCCGCACGGCCATCGGCGCGTTCGTGGAGCAGACCACCAACAGCAAGGGGCAGGTGGTGGAGGTGGCGTCGAAGCTCGGGTCCGTCTTCGGGCTCAACTTCAACGAGCCGTGGGTGAAGGCGCTGAACCAGACCAAATTCTCTGGCGCCGATAAGCAGGAGATGCGCACGCTGTTCGAGTTCCTGGGCTTCTGCCTGGAGCAGGTGACGGCGGATAATGAGCTCGGCGGACTCAAGCAGGCCCTCGAGGGCAGGTTCGTGGAGCCTGGGCCCGGTGGTGACCCGATCCGTAACCCGAAGGTGCTGCCGACTGGGAAAAACATCCACGCGCTCGACCCCCAGGTGAGACGATTGTGCCTGGTTTTCTGATCCCCCCTCAGATGTCTTGTCAGCCCGACCCCACGCCCGCGCGCCCTCTCCCCCCCTTCATCTAGTCAATGCTCCTTGCGAACATTCGTTCTGATTTCGTTCTCTCCTGTGCGCGCTAGTAGCTGATCTTGACTCGTCTCCCCCCGTCCCCCCCCCCCCCCCCCCCCATCTTCCCCGTCCCCTGCTTTTCCTCTGCAGGCCATCCCCACGACAGCGGCCATGCTGAGCGCCAAGATCGTGGTGGACCGCCTGCTGGAGCGCCAGAAGGTGGAGAACGACGGCAAGTACCCGGAGACCATCGCGCTCGTGCTGTGGGGTACGGACAACATCAAGACGTACGGCGAGTCCCTTGGGCAGGTGCTGAGCATTGTGGGCGTGCGCCCCGTGCCCGACGCGCTGGGCCGTGTGAACAAGGTGGAGGCTATTCCCCTGGAGGAGCTGGGCCGGCCCCGCGTGGACGTGGTGGTCAACTGCTCTGGCGTCTTCCGCGACCTCTTCATCAACCAGGTGAGGGCAGGGGAGGGTTCATTTCGTCGCCTGGGCATGGGGATGGGGCCTGGAAGATCAGGGGGGCTGGAGGGTCAGGGGGGTGGGAGTTGGTTTGGATGCCTGGGAGACTGATCGGTTGTGGGCCTAACACACTTTTGTAGTACTCGGACCTGCTGTCGCCCCTAGCTTCTGAACACGATGCATGGCTCTCCCCCCCTCTATTCCCTTCAGATGAACCTGCTGGATCGCGCCATCAAGCTGGTGGCTGAGCTGGATGAGCCTGATGAAATGAACTTCGTGCGCAAGCATGCCAAGGAGCAGGCCGCAGAGCTCGGCCTCTCAGTCCGCCAGGCCGCCACTCGCGTTTACTCCAACGCCTCGGGTTCCTACTCCTCCAACGTCAACCTGGCCATTGAGAATTCCTCATGGAACGACGAGAAGCAGCTCCAGGACATGTACCTGTCACGCAAGTCCTTCGCCTTTGACTCTGATTCCCCTGGCGCGGGCATGGCTGAGCGTAGGGAGATTTTCGAGAAGGCGCTGGCGACTGCTGATGCCACGTTCCAGAACCTGGACTCCAGTGAGATCTCACTCACGGATGTGAGCCACTACTTCGACTCGGATCCCACCAAGCTGGTGCAGAGCCTGCGTGGGGACAAGAAAAAGCCCAGTGCCTACATTGCTGACACCACCACTGCCAATGCCCAGGTGCGTGTTGAGGGGAATGGCGTCTAACTCTGGCTGCTGATGTGTGTCCTTGTTGCCATGTCTTTCCCCTCCCGGTTTCTGACATTTTCATACTGACTCAATGATTCGCCTAACCTCTGACTTCGTCCCTGGTGCCCCTTGTCCTTGCTGCAGGTGCGCACTCTGTCTGAGACGGTGCGTCTAGATGCGCGCACCAAGATGCTCAACCCCAAGTGGTACGAGGGCATGCTGTCCAGCGGCTATGAGGGTGTCAGGGAGATCGAGAAGCGCCTCACCAACACCATGGGCTGGTCCGCCACCTCGGGAACTGTAAGCTCTCGCACCCCTACCCCTCCTTCCCATTTGTCTCAATGTAGAAGTAGAGTTGATCCCCTTTTCCCACCCTGGTGCGCATACATACACTCCCACTGCATGGCCCATCCCTTGTTTACTGTGAGCACCACCTATCTGGTTCATCATCTAACCCCTGAGTATTCGGATCTTGACTTCTGTTGTGCTTTCAGGTGGACAACTGGGTGTATGAGGAGGCTAACTCCACCTTCATTGAGGACGAGGAGATGCAGAAGAGGCTGCTGGAGACCAACCCCAACTCATTCCGCAAGCTCGTCGCCACATTCCTTGAGGCCAATGGCCGCGGCTACTGGGAAACCACCGAGGATAACATTGACAGGCTCAGGCAGCTGTACCAAGACGTGGAGGACAGGATTGAGGGCATTGACAAGTAGAGGTAGCAAGTGGAATGAGAACATGGGATGTTGGAGGGAGATGATATGCTTGTGCTGGGATTGTCTTTGGAGGGGAGCCTCTGTGGGACCACTGAAAGGGCAGAATGCTGGCTGTAGCTTTTATTTACAATTCATGATGAACTCCAGATGTACTCTCTGCTGTTAGTTCATGTTGACACCCATGTCAAAGAAAACTACTGGACTTCTTGAGGCAGTGAACCGAGTAAATAGTACATTGGTGTGTGCCACAATTGTTGCTGCCTGAGGATTCTGGTTCTAGAGCTAATTGCTGACAACCCTGAAACAATCACCACACCAGCATAGGGAGGTTTTTGCTTCAGCAAATCTCCTTCAGTAATGTGGCGTGGAAGCAGAGATGGCTGGTGGAAACGATAGGAATTTTATTTGCATTGTAGTATGTATACATGGACAATGGTAGTAAGCTGTTGGACTCCTACTCACACTCCCCTAAATTACTCTTTACATTATGGTTTTACAAACGTGTGATTACTTGTTATTTGTAATGACACACATATTTCTTCCATTTGTCGCTACCCTGGGCGAAAGAGGAAAGTGCTCTTCCTCGTGGTACTAGTGGTCCTCTTCCTTCGTCGGTGCTTGCACAGCATCAACCTCCCCTCACCCAGCCACATCCCACAGCCTCTGGTGTCTGGCCAGCACCGGAGCTGCCCGCGCGGATTCCTCTGCGCCGAAAGTCGATGGATTCTCATGGGGGGATCCTAGAGCGAATCCCAAAGCGCGCCAATCCCCCGCCAAGGCGTAGAATCATCGGCTGACGGAGCCTCTCGTGTTTTCTCCCGAGGCTGGAGAAAACAAGCCACGTAGTAGTGATAGTAACCACCGCGCTGGTAACCATCTTACCGGAGCCGCTCCGGCAGCGCCGGTTCATCGGAGTGGCGCGGCGTTACGCGTGGCCAGCAGCAGAGACGTGGAGATTCGCCATGATCGCCCTCACCCTCACCCTCGCCCTGAGGGTAGTACAACGCCTCGCTACAACCACCAGCGTGGCCGCGACAGCGGCGAGCAGAGGGATCCCGAACAGAGCAACGGCCGCAGCAGCAGCCGTGGTACTAGTGGCGGCGAGGCTCGCATGGCGTCTTCCCACGAGTCTTCTTCCCACGAGCGTGGCTCGAGCAGCCACAGCGCGGCGTTTCACATGGCGGCAGAGGCGGACGTGGTTATTCACAGGAGGAATGGCGGGGGTAACAGGGAGAGCCGCGGCGTGAATCACGGCGTGAGTCACGGACAGAATCCCCGGGGGGTCGCCCATGGGGCTGGGAGCTTCGTGCATGGGGCTGCGATCGTGCCCAGCAAAACTGTCGACGACGGGCCTGGCGACTTCGGCAGTGGTGACTATGCTGGCGGTGATTATAATGGCGGCAGCTGGAGTGGTGGTGACTATATGGGCGGTGACTAAAATGGTAATGGTGGTAGCTGGAGTGGCGGTGACTATGTAGGTGACGGCTCCCTCGTGGAATTTAGCGTTGACTCTGTACCCAGCAGTGGCCGCAGCACCAGCAGCACCAGCAGCACCAGCAGCAACAGCAGCACCAGCAGCACCAGCAGCACCAGCAGCACCAGCAGCACCAGCAGCACCAGCAGCACCAGCAGCACCAGCAGCACCAGCAGCACCAGCAGCACCAGCAGCACCAGCAGCACCAGCAGCACCAGCAGCACCAGCAGCACCAGCAGCACCAGCAGCACCAGCAGCACCAGCAGCACCAGCAGCACCAGCAGCACCAGCAGCACCAGCAGCACCAGCAGCACCAGCAGCACCAGCAGCACCAGCAGCACCAGCAGCACCAGCAGCACCAGCAGCACCAGCAGCACCAGCAGCACCAGCAGCACCAGCAGCACCAGCAGCACCAGCAGCACCAGCAGCACCAGCAGCACCAGCAGCACCAGCAGCACCAGCAGCACCAGCAGCACCAGTCAGCGTTAGTGACTGCCCTGACGGTGGGGATGGTGGGGATGGTGGGGATGGTGGGGATGGTGGGGATGGTGGGGATGGTGGGGATGGTGGGGATGGTGGGGATGGTGGGGATGGTGGTAGTTTGGACAACGGCGGTGGTGACGCAGGCAACGGCGGCATCGACGCTGGCGGCAGCGGTGACGGCAGCGGTGGCGGTGGTGGCGGGATGGACGTGGGGGCGATCCTGGAGGAGCACAACAGGGCGCGGCAGGAGGTGGAGGTGGCGGACCTGGCGTGGGACGACGGGGTGGCAGTAGCAGCGGCGGAGTGGGCCAACAACCTGGCCTCCAGGGGGTGCCCATTGGAGCACGGAGGGGCGGAGGGGCTCGGGCAGAACCTGTACTGGCGCGCACCCGCGGGGCTGACCCCTGAGGAGGATCGCATGGCGGTGCAGTCGTGGGTGGCGGAGAAGGCGGACTGGACGTACAGCCCCGTGCCCGAGGGGTGTGCGGACGGCAGGATGTGCGGGCACTACACGCAGGTGGTGTGGCGCGACACCACGCATGTGGGCTGCGCCTCCGCGCACTGCCCTGATGGGGGTGGCATGTGTGTGTGCGACTACTTGCCCCCGGGCAACTTCGTTGGCTCCACGCCTTTCTAGGGTGGGTTCTTGTGGAGATTGGTGGTCGCGTGGAGGGGTCGAGGGCGGTTTGAGGATCTGTGCTTGAGAGGATGCGGTGGTTTGCTTCTGCAGACTGTTGGGAGGGGGACGCTGGGACAGCATGGGAGAATCAGCTGGCTCTTGGAGGGTGGTTGCTTGCTCATGCGGACAGCTTGCATGGAGATCAATCCAGATGTACTGTACGGGATCTAGTCTGTATGATTTGGGATTTACCTGTATTGCAGTTAACGGTGTTGCTATCAATCAGCAGGACAAGGAACCAGAACGAAGCAGTCTAATAAAAAAACACAGAACGGAACTAGGTCTAGATCCAAGAGTCGAAGAGCGATACACATGTGACGCACGTGCTTCGTGTATACTGGTGTCAGAGCTCACTCCACATGGCGGCACGCCATGGGCAGATGGCAGACAAGAGAGACAAAAGGTGCTGCCGTCTCCGAATGCAGCATTCAAACCACTCCCGCCCAGCCACCCCTGCTGCTGCTCCAGCTGCTTTGCTGCCAGTGCCACTAGAGGTATTCCCAGTGCATGGAGCTTGTGAGGCATGGGAGCTGATCTGAGAGCCTGTGGTATTGAGCTCTGCTTCTAAACCAAAAACGTCTGGATTAGATATAGTGACAACCCTGGCGGTAGGAGCAGCGGTCGCTGCAGTATTCCCAGCAGCAGCAGCAGCAGCATTGTCAAGACTTCCCAGCTGAACAGTGCACGTTCGCGGTTTCCCCCATCTGCTGCTGCTGCTGCTGCTGCTGCCTCCACTACTTCTTCTGGTGGTGGTGGTGACTTCGGTGGTCCTGAGCGGTGTGCATAGAGCAACCCCCGTGGTGCTGCTCCTGGTGGGAAAGGTGCATGTGACGACAGTCCTCACAGAAATCCCATGAGAGTTGTCCTCCGCACTGGGATCTGTACTGCTGCTACTGGTTGCGGAGGTGGTGGTGGTGGTTTGTGTGACGCATGTGGTGCGGATGGGAACAGTTCTCTGCATTAGCTGGAGGGACGAGATGGAGGGGAATGATGCAAGGTAAAAGGGAGAAGGAAACGAGGAAGAGAGCAACAACGTGAGCGCACGAGCGTGGATTGGGGAGGAAGCATGCATGGCTTTGCATTTGGAAGGGTGAGGAATGAGGAAGGGGGGGAGGGAGCAAAGGGAGGGAGCAAAGGGAGGAAGAGCAAGAGGACGAATGAACAGCGCAGTGGGAACAGAGAGAGGGCCTTAGGGCAAAGATTGAGGTACACGGTTTGGAGTTAGCTTAAATAGCTTATCGCCAGCATGCAACATCGACAAATCAAGAGGAAGGCACGACTGATATTACAGCGTGTGAAAAGCTCTTATACCTGCTTGAGCATCCAGAGGCAGTAGCTCAACCGCAGCTCCTCTCCTCTCCTGCGCTCCTCATCCGTTGCACTGCTGCTGCTGCCGCCGCCACCCCCACTCCCACTCCCACTTCCAGAAGCAGCAGCATCAAGACACTCCCTGGCATCCCCACATGCACTGTCCCCCACTCCCTGCTCTATCTCCCTGCTGCTGCGGCTCCCCTCACCACCACGCACCACCTCCCTCACCTCCCTATCCATCTCCTCACAGCACTTCACCTCTACCCCTTGAACCGCCTTCTTCCAAGTATCCTCTCCGTCCTGCCCCCCCTCTACTCCCTTCCCGCTCCCCTCTCCATCCCCTCCCTTTCCTCTCCTGTCAACAACCCCTTCCTCTTTCTCCTCTAGATTTCCTCTCTCCATCACCACAAGGCCAGCTCCTGTTCCGCCTCTGCCATTCCCACGCTGCTGCTGCTGCTGCTGCTGCTGCTGCTGCTGCTTCAGGAGGTGCTGGGGCGAGAGCCAATCAGGCGGTGACAGGTGGCAGCACCAGAAGAGTGCAAGGAAGCGCCGGTGGGTCCAGAGTGCCTGAGGGATGGGCGGAGGCAGAGAGGCAAGGACATGGTGAGTGGGAAAATATTTATTGGGAGTGAGGGGGAAATGGGGAGAAGGGGCAGCAGAGATGGGGGAAGGGGGATGGAGAAAGGGGTTAGGGAAACCAGACTGGAAACTACAGGTGTACAAGTGTGGAAGACCAAAGGTAGCTGCCGCAGTGAGATGCAGCTTCTGCTAAACCTTACGCAAGTCAGAGAGACGGGGGGGGGGAGGGGGGGTGGAGGTGTATGACATTTCCTTAGGCAATCAATACACAGCAAATATTGTAGTTTTCAAGAGCATTCCTGACATTTGCTTCCATTTGATTCCTGTTACAAGCCACAATTCACATCACATTCACATCGCATTGCATCACATCACATCGCATTATATCACATAATATCACATCATATCACTGAAAATCTGTGTGATCAAACGAGAAAAGAGTAGTCTCTTCTGCACGCACCTCCCTGTTTGGATACCGGTGGATTAGTGAAAGGAGGCAGCACCACTCTTCCTGCGGCACAGAGGAGAAAGGGAGAGCAGTGGAGAAAGTAGGGCATAAAGGGGTGCGGGGGGGGGGGGGGTGGGGGGAGGGAGAGGAAGGAGGGGATTGGATTGTAGAGAGGAAAAGCCAGCCATGGTCCATATCGAGCAAGAAAGATCACACACAGACGAGGCAGGGGTGTGATTGGGGTTAGTGAAGGGCTTACGTACCAGCCAGATTCCTGACAGCAGGGACAGTGAGACAGCTGACTGTACTGGTGATGCTGCTGAGTGTACGTGGGTGTGCCCTGACTGTACATAACTAGCAGCGTGCGTAACGGCTGATGAGGATGCTGAGGGGGATGGTGATGGTGACTTCCCACTGCCGATGGTGTTCGTGTCGGCGCTGGTGTTGGCATTGGTGCTAGTTCTAGTGCTAGTGCTAGTGGCGCTAGTGCTGGTGCTAAAGGTCCCATTTCTGGTGCTGGTGGTCGCATTGCTGATGCTAGTGGTGCTGCTAGCACAAGAAACGGAGGAGGAGGAGGAGGAGGAGGAGGAGTGTGAGGAAGTGGATCGTAGCAAGGCGCACAGCAGCTCCCTGCGGTAGTGGAAGAGGCAGCTGTCCTCCACACAGCGCGCCGCCCACTCCCTGGTGTCACTCAGCTGCTGCTGCCACTGGGGACGGGGGGAGGGGAAGGGGAGAAAGGAGGGGAGAGAGAAGGGAAGAGGGTGGCGCGCAAAACAAGTAAGGTGGGGAATGGGGAGGTGAAAACAGAGGGCGTAACGAGGGACAGAATTGGGGAAAGGAGAGGAAGGAATACGAAGGAATACGAAGGAAGAGGAAGGAATACGAAAGAAGAGGAAGGAATACGAAAGAAGAGGAAGGAATACGAAAGAAGAGGAAGGAATACGAAAGAAGAGGAAGGAATACGAAAGAAGAGGAAGGAATACGAAGAACAGCATATGAATTCTTTTGCACGGAGGTGAGATGAGAAGTGAGGGGAGAAGTGAGCGCAGGGTCGCTATCACTACGCGTGCAACGGATACCACATCACCGCACATACCACACCACCGCATACCACATCACCGCATGCCACATCACTGCGTACCACATCAGCGCGTACCACATCACCGCGTACCACATCACCGCACATAACACACCACCGCATACCACATCACCGCATGCCACATCACCGCATGCCACATCACTGCATGCCACATCACCGCATGCCACATCACCGGAATACGGTATCACCGCATACCACAACAGCGCACGTGCATACCATATCTGGCGTCATGAGAGGGATTAGGGAGCAGCGATGGGCCCACGGGCGATAGCCCAGGGGGAACCGCTGGAATGGGGGGGAGATGGAGGGAGGAAGGGGATAGAGGAAGGGAGGAATGGGAGGGAGGGGAAGAGATAGAGAAGGAGAGTGAGCGAGCGCACCGTGATTCAGCATTACTTGAGTCGGTATCTAAGTGAAAGAATCAATCACAGATCCAGCTTGAACAAGGACGTTAAAGAACGTGCGGAAAAGGTTAAGAGTAGGGAGGGTGAGTATGGTGTTAATCGTGAGCGAGCACCGAGCAAGCGTGCTGCATGCATGCATTGAAGTCTGCTTTTGAGTCGACTCAAAAGCACCGAGCACCGAGCAAGCGTGCATGCATTGAAGTCAGCAGCAGGCTACGAAATCACTTCAGCCAAGAAGAAAGCAGCATGAGAATAAGTGATTCAGAAGTGATTGAGAATCGGCATGTTCATGAGGGGTGAATGAGGGAGTGAGTGAGTGCGAGTGTGTGTGTGTCTGAGGGAGGGCTGGAGTCAGTGAGTGAGTGAGTGAGAGTGGCAGGCTACCTGAGCGATGGTATAATGGAAGGCAAGCTCCTGGGTTAGAAGACTGAGAAACTTTGGAGGAAGAGGAGAAGGCGAGAGGGGATCGGAGGAAGGGATGGTGGAGGAGCAAGAAGAGGAGGAGGAGGAGGAGGAGGAGGAGGAAGAGGAGAATGAGGAGGAGGAGGAGGAAGAGGAGAATGAGGAGGAAGAGGACGTAGTGAATGAGGAGGAAGAAGAAGAGGAGAATGAGGAGGAGGATGAAGTGGAGGATGAGGAGGAGAACGAGAAGGAGGAAATGGACGAGGAGGAAGAGGTAATGGATTGTGAGACTGTCTGCTTATTCGAGAGCTGCTGCTGCTGCTGCTCCTGCTCCTGCCTTTGTTGCAAGAAGTAGAGCCGAGCGAGCTGGCCAATCACAAAGCGACTGCGCAGCCAGCAGAAGGCAGAACGAGGAAGGGGAACGGACACACACACACACACGCACACACACACACACACGCACACACACACACACACACACACACACACGCACACACACACACACACACACACACACACACACACACGCATACACCAACTGGATCCATCTTTTTAAAACTCCCAAAACTCTTGCTCATAGCATCTCTAAGCCGTGCTTTTGAGGCGCCTCAAAAGCGTCTCTCTAGAGCTCTCAAAACCCTTGCTCATAGCGTCTCTATGCCATGCTATGCGAGATATGGGCGTGCAAGGAGGCGGAATGCATGGCTGCGAACATGAAAAAGGGCAGGAGAGATGGGGCAGCACCGAATGTGTGAGGATGACTTCTGAGTCGACTCAAAAAGGGCAGGAGAGATGTGGAAACACCGAATGTGTGAGGGTGTGTGAAGACCCCAAGCGCTGAGCTTATGTGAGGGTGTAAGGACCCAAGCCACCCAATGGCTAACTTATCTGAGTGCCAACGAGTGTGGTTCTAATGTGCTCCTACTGGTGAGCCCAAGCATCTGCACTCTTCTGGTTTTTGAGAACCCTCACAAATTGTTTTGAGTGCCAGCGAGAGTGCTTCTGATCTGCTCTTACCGGTGAGCCCAAGCATCGGTGCTCTTCCCAAAGAAGGACAGCACGACACCTGTCAGCGCCAGCTCAGCCTGCAGCCGAGCCTCGTCCTCAGGCTTGGGAAATGCTCCCGCAGGCTCGGGGGGAGGGTGTGTGAGAGAGTGAGGAGGAGGAGTGGGGATGCTGCAGGTGGTGTGTGAGAGTGTGGAGGAGAGGGTTGGATTGGATGGGTGTGTGGGCCATGGGTGGGCTAAGGGTCGATCAGACGGGTATGGAGAAGGAGAGTGGGGGTAGGAGGGGAAAAGCCGATGCCTCCTGCTTGGAAAATAGCAAATCGAAACACAGAGGAGATGCCACAGAGACAGAGAGAAGCACATGAGGACAGGATAAAAACCGGTGTGCACTACATGTGTGCTTGAAGAGCCAGGAAGGTAAACAACAGGTAAGATGCACAAACCAAAAGCTCCCAGATTTACCTCCCCCTCCCTCCCCCTCCCTCCCCCTCCCCCCCCCTCCCCCCTCCCATAGAAACAGAGGAGATGCCACAGAAAAAGAAGTCTATTTTTGAGGCGCCTCAAAAATAGCCTCCCCCTCCCTCCCCCTCCCCCATCCCATAGAATTACAGAGGAGATGCCACAGAAAGCACATGCGGCACACGATCAAGATCAGTTTAAGTTACAACAGACATGTGTGCTTGCAAAGCCAGGAAGGTAAACAGCGGGCAACATGCACAAAGCAAAAAAGCTGTTAGATTTACTCCCCATTTGCTTCCCCCCACACCCTCTCCTTCCCCTCCCCGTCCTCCTTCCCCCCCCCCCCCACCATCACACTTCCACTCCTCTTTCAAAACCACATTCCATCCCTCTCTTCCCCATCACCACTCCTCCCTGCCATGCCTTGGGAACCACACCCCCTCACCTCACGTGCCATGCGGTGCTGTGCTCCCCATTCACCAACACCAGCGCACGGGTCACCAGGTCTACCTCCTCCTCCTCCTCCTCCTCCTCCTCCTCCTCCTCCTCCTCCTCCTCCTCCTCCTCCTCCTCCTCTGCCCCAACCTTGGAGCAACCACACTCCGAATCTTCACTCCCGCATCTGCCTCCTCTGGACCCACTGCTTCCCCCTTCCCTGCCGTCTCCTCCTCCCCCTCCCCCTCCCCCTCCCCCTCCTCCTCCCCCCCCTCTCATCCCCTGCAGCCGCGCCGAAGCAGCAGCAAATAGCGGCAAGACAGCTGGCATGGCAATGGCGAGCTTGTGGCCGTTGAGGTAGAAGGAGGAGGAGGAGGAGGAGGAGGGAGAGGAGGGGGAGGGGGAGGACGAGGGGGAGGTCTGTGTCTTTTGAGTCGACTCAAAAGTCATCTCCTCACTGTTGGAGGTCCGTGGTAGGGCGGGCAGGATGGCGTATTCATCGCTGGCGGGAGGGAAAGAGCAGGTGATCGCGGGGAAGTCAGGGAGTAGAAGAATCCAGAGAGTGGGGAGGTATGGGAGGGAGGTAGTGTGGGCATGCAAGGACAGAGGCAGTAGGAGCAAGAAACGAGAAGAGAGACTAGGGGTCCATGCGCCAGTCCAAAAGTATATGAATTCGCCCGTCCGTCAACCCGTCAGCCTGTCAGCCCGTCAGACAATCGGCCCGTCAACTCTGGGTGCGCAAGATGCGCTACAACGAGCCATGAACGCACATATGAGGGTCGGATTGCAGCACAGCTTGCAGCTCCCGGAGAAGCACGGCACCCTCCGCCACCATTTTCGCATTGCGGCTGCCGAGCGAATCAGCAGGTTCGTCATCCGTGTTATGAGACGACTCAGCGTCTATTGTGCGCGCGGAATCCTGCGCGTTTGTTGCCATTGTTTTAGGTGCTGCTAGAGCAGAAACCAGCGCGAATTCCGCACACTGCAGACACGAAGCTCGAGAGAACTAGAATGAGAGCACCATAGTAGGCTTCAGACAGGACATTAGTATAGGTCCTTGTTTTGAGCCAACGGCAGATTCAAGGTTTGTGATGGATTGAAGTGTCTCAGTGCGCCGGCATGTTCGGAACGTCAGTCCAGGCACTTCGGTACAGGCTCGTCCGGAAAAGAACAACAGTTTTGTACGCCGTCCAAATCGGCGTATCGCGGTGAGTTGAAAATAGTTCTTGAATGCTCCCTCAGTTGTACCTCCATACACTTGGATTTGTTCCCACTGAAGAAGTTGATACCTTATCCCCTATAAGATGCTTCACTTTAATCAAGTTGGCTATTCGTAACTCACCTCACGATCACACTTCAATCCGCTTTCGCTCACCAGGCTCAGCTTCGTGCATTTCGCCAGAACAAGGTACTCCAGTCTGGTAACCACCATTTTGTGCACTCCAGCAAATTTCCTCAGATTCCCGCCTGCAGGATGTTCCCAAGGTTCCCCAGTATCACTCTTGTGTAGTGTTGGCCCTCGCTATACATGCCCATGGTACGCGCGCGGCACGGCGCGTGGACAGGCTTAGCTGGACAGGCTTTGCACGGTAGAGCACATGGCGTCGTCGTCAACATCCCAACCCGAACCAAGCCCTGAAGGCATCGCACGTCCCGTGTCGTATGTTGCGCGGCGAGTTTGCCAGCCCATCGTCAGGCGAGCCATGCCAGGAGATGTGTGATGCCAAACCTCAGGCTTGGTTTGTAGCAGCTCGTCAGGCAAGCCATGCCATGCCATGGCATGGCACGTGACGGCGACTGCCTGCCTTCTCCCGTCACCTCGTCCACCTTGCTCCAGCGAGATGCAGTGCGCTCTACCGGCCACGCGTCACTCTCTCAGGCGCAGATGAGTGATCAATTTTTCCGAATGCCTTCGGGCCTTTACCGAGGTTCTCTCACAGCGGGGAACCCTCGCTTGAACATTACAAATCGCCGCGGGAATTCCCTCCCTTCGTCCTTCCCTTCCGAGCACCCGCCGCATGCATGGCGATGCGGGCATGCAACAACACATTCAATGTGCGCTCATGCTCTCTAATCAACTATCGCGCGGCTTTCTTCGTCGCGCCGCATCGCGTCCGCTCCCAACCCCACTCCCACCCCTCCGACTCGAGCCGCCTCCACCTCCATAAGTTCCTCCCGCTCCCTCTTTCTCTCCATCCGTGCCGAGTTTCCCGTTCTCGAATCCCCTTCCGCTACTACCCTTTTCGCTCTTAACCCTCCCACAGCTCTCACGCTCTTGCTCGCTCGCTCGCTCGCCAGCTACCCTACCCAACCAGCCACCCGCCATGGCGACGCCTTCCCCGCTCAAGTCCGTGCCGGCGCACTCGTGGGAGACGGAGCCGGAGGGCGCGCTGGAGGGCATCGTGCTGGAGGACGACGCGATCTTCGACCCGGTGAAGGCAGTGAAGGGCAAGGTGGAGAAGCTGGTGCCGTCCGCGGAGGGCCACAAGCCCACGCACTGCCTCGCGCGCCTGCGCTTCCATCCCAACACCGAGAAGCAGCTTAACAACATGATCAAGTACTATGGACGGACGCTTGTACCGGAGTTTCTGGGGGAATTGTCCAGGAGAAATCTCGCGTGCTTTCAGATTTCTCCGTTCTGTCCCTGCTGTGCTTCCGTTATCCTGCAGTTCTTCCTTCTGTAAAGATTCTGACTGTGCCTAACGTCTCTCTCTGCCATGGCAGTGTGGAGTACGCCATGTCGTATACCTTCCACAGCATGAGCAACTACTATGCTCGCGATTGCGTTGGTCTACCAGGGCTTGCAACGTAAGAACTTATGTGACTTTGAGTTGGTCTGTCATATCTCCGTGTGCGTAGCTTCTGGACATGATGGTGAACAAGAGAGGTAAGCTTAAGTTTCCAAGCATTGCGTGGCTTCAACTGACTTGATCACGTGGGCTTCCACTCAAAACGCGCTGCAGGCTTTTCTTGAAGCGCAGCCATGAGACCAGGAAGAACGCCATCGAGCTCGCTGCCTACGTTGTAAGTGCTTCTGTCAATACTGCATTCTGCTAATTCTCTACCCAGTGACATTTTCCTCCCTTTCAATATCCCCTGCTGATGTAAATATTCTGTTGTGTGTGGAACTCGGGTGTGTTTTGCAGTCCAAGCGCGGAGGGTGTGTGGTGCTGAAGCCCATTGCTGCTCCTGAGGGCGAGTACGGTGACCCTCAGAAGGGGGATGCTCTCAGCGGTATGTGTGGAAACAGCATCACCTTCCACAGAATTCAGATCCAGTTTTCCAGCATCGCCTCCTGGGCAAAATGGGACTGATATGCTACATGGGAGTTTTGTAACAACTAGCATCATAAGCACACAGCTTATCGTGGGTTCTTGTTTTGCAGGCATGGAGTTGACACTGGCTATGGAGAAGGCAGAGACTGACAAGTTCCTTTCCCTCAACAAGGTACACTTTTCTTCAATCCAGGACATTTAACTACATCCATGCCGGGTGCTTATCATCTGATCTTTCACTGGTGTGATTTTGCAGGCTGCGGAGGATGTGGTCGATGAGCAACTCTCTGATTTCCTCACCGACAATTTCATCGACAAGCAGGTGATTATGTGGTAATACGGCAGGTGGGTGCTGCGTGGCAGGTGTCTGCTTGTGCTGTTTATATTCACAGCTCCTACTTTTCAAAAGTTGCCTTTCTTGTTCTCCTGCTTGCCTCTTGCCCTCTTGCAGGTGGATCTCCTCAAGCTCCATGCGATCTACGTGTCGCAGCTGCGCCGTGTGCACACCGGCCATGGTGAGTGCATGCACGGGTGAAGTGTGTTTTTTGGGGCTCGCTGTGTCTAGGGGTAATACGGTAATCAAGATTGTTTGTTCTTGGTGGTGTCTCACCCCTTGCAGGGCAGTGGCACTGGGACAAGACCCTCGCAGAGGAGCTTGGGTCTTCAGCCATGTGAATGTACACAGGATTCTGAAACGGCCGTGTAGATGGATGAGAAGTGATGGCTATTTGTGCATAGAATGTGCACTTGTACATAGTGGATGCATAAATACACACTGGTTTTGATTCTGCGAAATGTCTCTTATCGAGAACGAAGGTTCGTGGATATGAAATAGCAAGGTAGTGAGCACGTTTCTAGCCATCCCGCACATAGCATCCGCCATGGCTACTATTATGTTCACACACTTACCATCCTGCCCATTACCGTCTGCCGCGGGTTCAACCGCATGGTCACCACGGGTTGACATTTCGAGGGTTCAATTGGGTACTAACCATTCCAGAAACAACTCTGCCTCCTCTCTCTCCGCCAGCCGGAGCTTCTTTTGGCGAAATGTTCATAGCCTGTCGTTACATTCACCTTATGTTTCGCGAGGGATGACGTCGCCTACACGCGGAGGGGGTCTGTCTGTCCGTGCGGATGATGATCCCGTACGGGAGTGGATTCTTAGCGAGGCCGGGGGTAAGGCGAGCACAATAACGCGGATATCGCCTGTGTTCGGCGGGTGCATCAATAACGCGTCGAGATACGACACAGACGTGGGGTCGTTCTTCGTGAAAACTAACAGGTCAGAGGCCTGACGACTTTTGAGAGGCCTCAAATGGCCAGAGGTTTGACTGGAGCGGAGGGGAGGAGAGAGGAAGGGGGAGAAAGTTGCGGAGGTGCGGGGGGAATCTGGGGGGAGGTGAAAGAAAGGGGAGGACTCTGCATTGGCTGAAATGGTGCATGCTCCTCCTTCCCCCTTCCCCCTTCCCCCTTCCCCCTTCCCCCATCCCCCTTCCCCCAAGCTCCACAGGGCCAGCAATGTTTCTGGCGGAGATAGCAGCGCACCAGGCATTGGTCATGGTAATGGAAGGTGACGAATACTGATTCCCTCCTCCCCCCCATCCCCTTTTCTCCTTCCCCCCCCCATTCCCCTCCCCCCCCTTCCCCCCCCTCCCCCAGTTCCGCAGGGCCAGCAATGTTTGAGGCGGAGGCAGCAGGGCTGCAGGCGATGGTGGAGGCGGGGGCCATCCGCGTGCCGCGGCCCTTCACTGCTGGCGCCATGCCCCGGCGCGGGTCGTACATCGTCATGGAGTTCATAGAATTCGGACAGCTCAAAACGCAGGTGGGGGCGGTTGGGGGAGGCAGGTCTGGAGGGGGGCGGAAGGGGCGGGTGGGGAGGTGATTGGGGGGGAAGCATGGGAGGGCGCGGCCCTTGGGTGCTGGCGCTATGCCCCGGCGCAGGTAGTACATCGTCATGGAGTTCATCGAATTCGGACAGCTCAAAACGCAGGTGGGGGCGCTGGGGGGGGGAGGAGGAGGACAAGGGGGGAAGGGGAGGGGGAGCGGGGGAGGGTCGGGGCCAGCATGGGAGGGATGGGGGGAAAGCGAGATTAGGAATCGACGAAGCAGCAACGTGCCTGTTGTGTTATCCCTTTATGATGCCTTTTTTTTGTTCAATTTCCAGGTTACCATAGTGTAATCCCAATACCGTTCTATATATCTCTGGTCCCATTTCCATCCTATCCCAAATGTGTCCCATTGCAGGCGGAGCTGGGGCGGCAGCTAGCGCTGATGCATCAGCAGGGCATGTCCCCCAATGGACAGTTTGGGTTCCATTGTGACAACACCATTGGCAGGTATACACCCAGCATGACAAGAATGGCTGTGTAGCCTACCTCCCTTGCATCCTCCCTTCCCTCCTCCCTTGTCTCCACCCTTCCTTCCTCCTCTTCCTCCTCCCTGGTCTGTCTCACCGCACCATTCTTAGCACATGCGCAAGCACTAACACACTAGACCGGCACAGAAGCTCTCGCCTTTTCTCCCCTTCTCCTCCCACTCTTTTCCCACCGTACTTCTCATGTTTGCTCACCTGTCATGCTGACGCCTGCTGCGGTCTCGTGTTGCCGCTGGCAGCACACCGCAGCCCAACAAGTGGGAGAGCGACTGGGTGACGTTCTTCAGGGAGCATCGCCTGGGGCACCAGCTGAAGCTCATTCGCAAGCAGTTCGCAGACAATGCCCTCGTTGCCAGTGGTGAGTTTGTGTGCTGCATGCTGCACACTGCATGCGGCATGGTGCCAGGCGCGTTGCTCAGATTGTATTGTGTTTCACATGGCATGTGACGCATGGCACATGCACGGGATTTTCTCTCAGGGTATGGTATCTGTTCCATACTCGGTCTCTCAGCTTCCATGCTGTCTTCTGCCGCTTCAACCCTCCGGTGATCTTCAACCTCTCACAACCGCGTCCCTAGTGGCGCAGCTGCCCCCTGCAAACCTTTCTGCTTCAATGTGTCGCTCCCCTTGTCTCGGCCAGGGGAGAAACTCCTGGAGAAGCTTCCCCAGGTGCTTGGTGGTATGGAGGTGCAGCCCAGTCTACTGCATGGGGACCTCTGGAGCGGAAACATTGCTGCTGATCGCGAAGGGAATCCTGTCATCCTGGACCCTGCTACTTACTGTGAGACACCGCGGCAGCAATTTGGGTAGCTGTAGTGTGGGGGAATAGCAGGTTAAGGTGATGGATTGTGGACGTGCGAATCAACACCTAGCGCCATGGAAACCCGTGTACCGTAGCCTAGTCCCCACCTTCCCTGGTTGCACATGACTTGTTTCTCATTTGCAGATGGACACAGTGAAGCTGAGTTTGGCATGTCATGGTGTGCGAGCTTTGGTGGCTCTTTCTGGTCAGCATACTTTGAGGTGAGAACAGCACATTTTCACCTTGCTTGATTCATCAATAAACTGCCTCTTTCCCCTTGCCGCCACCAGTTTGCACTTCCTCTCAAAGGTTGCTCCTGGTTACACGGTAGTAGTGTAGTCACTACCGTAATCACCCGGATAGATGCCATAAACATGTGCATCCATGTCAACCACATGCATCACCTAGTTCACTCATGGTGAGGCCACTCTCTTCCTCAATCAGCCACTTCAAGTCCACTCCCATACATGGTGTTCTCTTTCTGACTCAGGTTCTTCCCAAACAGCCAGGCTTTGAAGAACGGGTGGAGCTCTACAAGCTGTACCACTACCTCAACCATTACAATCTCTTTGGATCCTCCTACCGTTCATCATGTATGTCCATCATCAACCAGTTTATCTGATCTTTGACAGGCAAGACACCAGAGTAGTGTTGAATCTTCTTGGGAGTTAATTATAGTAGTGTGTTTCCTTTCGTCTCATCTGTGGAACATTTCCGTGGCCCATCATGGGTTAGCTCCTGGGAAAAGACACAGCTGTTCATACTCCCAAATGTTTATTGCATTAATTTCTGAACAATACATATATAAGGCAGCGAAATTCCGTGCTCATAGACACAACCTAGCTTGCCTACACGTGTGGTCCTAATCGGCTGTACATATCAACTCGCCACCAAAAATATCCTCCGCATGTACAGGTCAGGAAGACAGCTCGCGAGGGATCTCACACCCCATCCAATGGTTTGCTCGTTCCTCTCGCCAGTCTTCATATGAATCAAACTAGCCTTGACAGGAGGGGACAATGCCCGTCCACGGCTTTGATAGGAGAAAAAAATCCTTCGATGCGAGTCTTCGGAGCAACTGATACTGATACTTTACAGGAGTCTGTGCGAACAGGCTCTGGTGCAATCGGTAAGCCCTGGACCTGAATAACAGGCGGCCTCCGGAAGTTACAATCCCTGACAATTGGATTGGAAGCTCTGGGAGGAGGGGAGAAAACAGGGAGCTCTCCCGAGGCAGAGTCCTTCCCTTCCTGGAAACAACGGGAATGAAAGCTGTTAATAAAACGACGAGAGTGGTGAACACGACTGATTAAAACAACGGAGGGAGGCTTATATACCCGGAAAAACAAAATCTCCATCAGCTCCTTTCCTACATCAGGGTCCGCCTTCGAAGGTGCACACCCACTGCACAAGGGTACCACACAAGGGTGAACATTAAGTATGGCCGCATGCAAACGGAACCAATAAGCTCGCAATGTAAGGCGTTTACTAACCTAAGGGGTCTCCGAGGCTTCGCATCAGTGACACTCAACACTGGAACACGAATTTGCCTTGGACATGGATATAACAACGTCGAAGACTGAGGTGATACAGGGTTAACTGGCCTGGGCCTCCTTCGTTCCAAAGTATCTACTTTCGTGTCGGGCATATTCAACAGAATGGAGCGACTACACATTCCAGGATAATTTATTTGCCAACAAGCTAATCTAACCAAGCGGAAACACTGTCGCATGCCGACAGCTGGGAAAGACCTCTAACAGAACGCCATGTCTAGAGTAGTGTAATCGAAGAATTGTCAAGTCTGCTTGTGAGCAAGGACGAGCAAGATGAAACCCTCATCTGATGTACTGTATCAGCTCTGCTGTCTCCCAGCAAATTTCAGATGCTCAGCTCAAGAGCTGGGAGACATGCTCACCCCTCGCTCCTGCTCCCTTCCAGAGCCTACGCTAAGGATTTGGGAGGGTCTGTTTCTCCCGGGTTCTCCCCCCATCCCCACTCTTTTTCGTCCGAGTTTGGGGGCTGGAGAATTCTGTCTAATCCGGAATCAAGGCTCGTGTTACGCTGACAGAGTTTCTCCCCTGTGCTGTGTGAATTTGCACCCGTGACAGGCTAGGACAGCTCATCCCGTTTAGCCAAATACTGGAGTGGTAGCAACAAGTGAGGTGAGAGAGAGATGACAGCACAAGGGGAAGAGACGGGCAGCTCATCCCGTTTGAGAGATTGCCTTGGTTAAGGGGTGAATTGAGGTGACAGTGCAAGGGGAAGAGCGGTGCCTGGGGGTGGGGATGGGGAGGAAATTCCTCCGTGCTGGGCTACAGGGGCATTCTGTTTCTTCCAGGACCCGGCCCAAGCACACTTGTATATTTTCCGGAATCCCTGTGTAGTCACTCGTAAAATTTCTGGATCGGACTCTGGAGAAACTTTGAAATTTTATTCAATCCGGGTAATTAGTCTTGAAAACTTAGGCCTGCTCCCTTCATCTCACTCGCGGAAACCGTCTGTTGTGGTGGGGAGCTTTCTGATTGGTGCACACATCACCTACTGGCCACACACGGGCTGGAACATTTTTTCTGCCCGCACGCCTCACCCTCCCTGGACAGCGACACGCTAGACGGTCAGAATTTTGAGGCGCCACGTTATCCAGCCCAGGATACACGATGGGAGGTCGTGCTGCGGCCGGGCACCTCGTTCAAAAATATCTTTTGGCGGCTGAACCTCCTATCAGAGGGCAGCACGGCCATCGCGGACTCAGAAAGTGGAAGTTCCGGCTGCGAAGGGTCAGGGCACAACCAACGCTTTGGCGCCAACCTGGCAAGATCTGGACACACGAACAACATTCATGCTCCTTCCAGAAACGTTGTCAAACGTCCCTGAAAAAAAAAAAAAAAAAAAAAAAAAATCTGCCTGCCCAGTATAACGGACATTGTTGTGCTCAAGCTCCGAATCTGTGACAACATCGAACCAGGTTGAACAGTTTGAAAATACATACAGAATAACACTATTTCATGCCTCCACTAGATTTTAGATTCCACCTTTTCACCAAATTCAGCAGTGTACGTAGCTAGGGAAGGACATATAAATCCTGGAGTATCATAAAGAGTTTTTTTCGTTCAGTCATAACTAAAACAGGTATATTGTTAAAATATGATGGCAAGAACCCTATAATTTATCTATTTTATGAATAGATTATTGGTAGTATATTTGGGGCCTTTTTCTACATGAAGGTCTTAATTTTGAATGCATGATTATAAGCTGATTCTGTGCTTTGTGCATCATTCAGCCTTCAACCAGTTGAAGGGGGTTCTCATTTTACTCACAACCAGGCTGGAGAATGGCGGGTAATCAGATTCGGGAATGGGCTTGTCATGTGTTGGCAAGTCGATTGGTTCCGAGGCACAGCTGACGCGCGCGTTGGCAGCAGCGATGTGAGAGGGCGTGGCATAAATGAGGATCTTCGACCATTGACCAATCACATGGAGGTGCTTGTCATCTCGCATGAGTGTTTTGGTGTATTTGCTCGTTTCGTGCCCAGAACTACGTGGTTTTTCTTACAAGTGATCTGGCATGCAGTGAAAGACGTCGAGCTGGCGTCACCTGGCGGCACGAAGGGCTGGCGCTGACGCAGGTTGTGGTTACCTACCAATCGGAACCTGCCCCGCTCACTCCGTTCTGCCCGTGATTTGGGATACGGGAGTTTTCGACGCATCAAGGCAACCATTTTCCTCGCATAGACAAAGTTAGCATCAAGTACAGTGATATCGACTTGATTGTTCGCCTTTAAACGGTTCAAACCCTACCACCGACAAGTTTTGCGTGACAGCCCGTACTTGTGAGCCGTGCCGCGTGCGTCACTGTCGAATCTCCATTGCTGACCTGCCTGACGCGGTTTATGAACCCCCTTCCCTCCCCCTTCGCTTGCAACTTCACATCACGTTCATTCAACTGCCTTCCAACCATCCCATCCCATCTACCCACCCTCTGGCCCTCCAGCTCAAAACCTCCGCCTGTCTCTTTATTACCCGTTATCTCCATCCTCAAACCCACCTTTCTTCAGCTCGCTCCATAAAATTTTGTCCTTCCAGCGAGCTTGGGGATCGAGCTGCCAGCCGTGTGCCGTTCCCTAAACCCTATCTACGTCGTACACCTTGATCTGATTCCCCTTCGTAAGAGGCTCGTCTAGCCTTCGTGAATTGCTTAGAGAACTGTTATTTGCTTTTGAAGACAAGCCTCTCCTTCATCATGGCTGCCGCGTGGGGTGTTCAGGTTGGAGGTACCACGCCAACGCTCTCTCCCGCCAATGCTCATCTTCGTCGCCATGCATTTTCTGACGCTGGATCTTCGTCCGCCATCTCCCAACCGATTTCAACCTCTCCGAACACAATCAGATCTCACCTGCCATCGGCGCACGGTTCTCTTCGCGGGCCGTCCACGACTCCCTCGACTTGCCGCAGCACCGTATCATGGCACGTGGCAGCAACACCACTTAACAGCCGTAACAACAGCACCATGTCGCGGCGGCGTTTCTCTGCTCGAGCGGCAGCCACAGGAGCCGCCACCGAAGAGCCTCACACCCGTGCCTCTGCTACTGAAATGCAACGAACCGCTAACTCACTCTACGATCTGCTCGGCCTGTCCCGTCGCGACGCGTCCCTGGAGGAGATTAAAGGCGCGTACCGACTACTAGCCCGGCGGTATCACCCGGACGTCCGACCGGAGGGACTTACTCTCGAGGAGTGCACGCAGAGGTTTATCGAGGTTCAGGAGGCGTACGAGATCCTCTCTGACCCGCAACGCCGGGCTATGTATGACTTCGAAATGCTGCACCCCGCTTCCGCCAAGGCCGGTGCGCACCCGTGGAGAAGGGAGGGAGGCTGGCGACGAGGCGTGCCTCGTCCGTGGTCAACGGTCGACTCTCCCTGGCAGTCACCTGAAGAGGAGGAGCAAATGCGCAACGCTTGGCGCGCGCAGTGGGGGAGTCAGCTCTCGGGTCTGAAACAGCGGGCTCGGTCGCAGGCTAAGCCTGGATCGTGGGCTGCTCGCATGCGGCAGGAGCAGGAAGGCGAATCCGCGTAAGCGGAGACGTCTGATCCGTGTGTAAATTCTTTCTCGGCGCGGGGGTTCCGGGCGGGCAATCATTCTTTGGTGACCGACTGCTGTTTTTAGAAGCTCGGGGAAGCGCAATGGCTCTTGGCTTGCAGCGGCTTGCCTGGCAGCGAGTGACCACGCGGTCGCATGCTCCCCTTACTCCCCCATGATAGGCTTTGTTTGGTTGGACTGCCAAGTTACTACTAGGACCCAGACGCACCCTTGCGTGGCTTGAGCTTGTGCTTGCATTAGCTGGTTTGAGGGTGCTTGTTAGGTGAGTTTGCCCCTAAGCTTTATGTACAGTTGAAGAGGGATCTTGTACATGATTACACAGCAAGCGTGTTGATCTCTTCGCTTCGAGGAAGGGGTTGCAGAATATACGGTACTCCTGGGGGACTCAAAAAGGCACAGAACTAACTGTTAAAATTATATAAGTGATAATTTTATATAGGCTTGGTAGGTTGTTATTGAACCTTTCTGTAGAGGGTACAAACCTCTCTTTGTACTCCTCTCTCTTCCTAGTCATCCCTCTTCTTTCTCGACATTCCTTGCCTACTCCTAGATCTACCTTCCTCACGCCATTCCATGGCGCCATTCCTTGCATCCTAGCTAAGCTAGGTTCCTAAGTTTAGTTAGTGTCCTAAGCTTCTTTAAGACTAACACCATGGTTTGTGTGGGGCCATACATGATTCATACTGCATCTGGAACTCACATATCAACCCTGGCGGCTTGCAAGCAGGCCGCAAATTATCTGGGTGAAATGCCCTGATTGCCCTGATTTTCCGGGTGTTTTTCGGCTTGGTCTTAGAAATCAGACTTAAAGCCCCCGGCTATAATAGCAGACCTGGAAACCACTTGAATTTGGTGCTTTGAAATCCGTCTAAGTATAGAATGGAAGGCAGCTTTGAGTTCCAATCCAAGCCTGAACAAGAAAAGTGTGTCGAAACAAATTCTGGTCGAGCTTGCTGATTGGAGGAATGGCGAAAGAACTCGTTTTGCTGTTTGTTGCGACACGATCATTTGGATGCGAATTGCTAAAAAACACTGTGTGCATCTCACAGAGTTTCTACGACGGGCTTGGGCGAGCAGCTTGCGACGAGGAAATACAGGCGCATTATGAGTGGGGAATTCAAGTGATTTCCAGGTCTGCAATTCCGGAATCAGCTACTGTTCGCCAAAAAAACACTGTTCTTCTCGCATTTTCACTGTTCACGGAACCACGAATTCGGCCGCACGACGCGTATTGCACTGTTCACCGAATGGTTTCGTGCAAAAACTGTCGCCAAACCGCCACGGTCAGATTCCGCTTTGCAAAACGAAATGTTTTTATCCTGTTTCGTTTACTCTAACGATCAAGTCATGTGGCAAGTTCAAGAGCAAATTAAACAGCCCTCTTGATTGATATTATAGCCACGGGCTTTAAATATTTTTAGGCAGATACAAAAAGTGAAGCGAAATTTTAACCCTGACAAAAACAGAGTTGCGGGACCCGGCACTCTGAGTCATAAGTGTTGGGCTGACAAAAACCCTGGGCTGATAGTGTAAGGAATGAGTAATTCCTTACTGAGGCTTGCTACAGGGCGTACGACTCGAACAGTCCCGAACCATCGCCAAGGTTCCAGACCTATCAGTTCGAGCCTCCTGGGCCTTTCCGGACCTCGCTACGACACATCGAGGCCCTTCGATACTTTTCCCGAACCTTCCGATCCTACGTCCAGGATCACCCTAGGCTTTCTATATATTGTATTGTCTTTCATTTTATTGTCATTCACTCGTTCACAGTTTCGCCATTGCCCTCCGCGCTACTCGGCAGTCCCATTCATAACACTTGGTATTCAGAGCCACTTTCCTCACCCGCTGGGCTTCTGAGGGCAATTTTTTTTTGGAAGGGGGAGAAGGCGGATGGCGCTACAGAAGGCACAACGGTTGTCCTGAAGCATGATCTGATATGCTTCAACAACTGCGTCTGCGTGGGCTTCTAACGATCGTCGATCCGACCCCAAGGGACGAGCAGGATTCGCTCGGCCATCCCCTCGAGGGCGGTTGTGTCCGTCCTGACATGGCAAAGTTGTTGAAGAGTGTTTCCGGTATGTTGTTTATTTCGCATATCGTTAAAGGGGTTTCGGTTGCAGTTTCGGCAATTTCGGCAAGCAGCAACGACGATTCGGATTGGTGTCCGAATGGAGTGAAGAGCTCGTCACGAGACGACAAGCTCGTGAATATCCCCAGGCGAAATGGGTTTCGTCAGGAGCGCGTGTAACAGACGTGGCTGCATGGTGAAGTGTAGCTGATGTCAAGGGCTCGGCGTTTCCGGCAGGCGACACGCAGGTGAAGACGGGACTTCGGAACTGTTCAGCAAACGCGGTGTTGGAGTTTTCGGCACGACCAGGGATCGCACAACAGCACACGTGGGGCTCAGGCACGGAAAAGTTTCGGGGAGTACTGACCTCGAAATTTATTCGCGTGACCTGCCCGCCTGGAGGTGTAATTCGTCTGCCCTGGAGTTTCGAGCTCGGCGAGTCTGGATTCCTGCAGAGGAAGCCATTTTCGTGGTCAAAAATTACGCCCCACGATCTACGGAGGACGACCAGCAACTACCCTCGGGTCGAGTTCAAGTGTTTTTTGCCGGGTCACCGCTAAAAGTCAACGACGAATAGCTGTAGCAGAGAAGGAGAACGACTGGGTAACAGCCGGGAAAAAATTAAGAGTCAGCGGCAAACGGATCCCCCCGACTGACTAGGCTGGGTCGCCCGATCTTCAAGCACCACCACCAGGTACCAGTTCGGGTTTAAGGCTACTCCGACGGTTCTGGCCGAATAAGGGTGGTGAGCCAGGGGATCGCCCTGTAGCAAGCCTCAGTAAGGAATTACTCATTCCTTACACTCTCCCCCCTTCTAGATAAGCACACAAATAAACAAAACAATAAACACTCTAACTGAAACTCGTAGTAGTGAAGCCACCACTATTGAGAATCTCGAGCTTCTTCAAGAACTCCATCCAATGGTCGAAACGTGTCGAAACGATCGCCGTCGATCGTAGCCGTCGAATCTTGGTCGAGTTACCCAGATAACCAAACGGGCAGTAGGGATTCTACCGCACCACAGCTTCGTTGTCTCCAGCGAATCTTTCGCCGACAATTACATCAATCGTCGTGTACGGTATCCGCACAGTAACACCACGTTATTCACACTGCTGCAAGTTGGCGAGCCGAATCTTCACCATGCGCCAATCTTGTCCGTAGCTCCGTAACTGTAGATCGCTCCTCGTTTCATTCCACGTGAGTTGTGACACGCGCGGAAACACGCGTCCGCATTTCGCAAAGTCAACGAACTCCTGCTCTTCGTCAAATGCGAGGTCACTCGCGACAGATGCGAGAACACGCGTCCGTGTCTCACGAAAGTCAGCGAATTCCATCAGCACATGGACGAAAGTCCAACCGGTCCAGTAACCGTAGTCGATGTCGGCTCAAGCGGTCAATATAAACGCGCCTTCAACTTTCGCAAAGTCCTCCGAAATTTCCCGAAATGCCAACTCGAATCTGTCCGTCGATTCAGTCGGTCAAACAGCATCTGTCCGTCGATGCTCCTGCAGCGGATGTAAAACTGTCGAGGGTAAATCCATAAAACAACTGCTGCGCAGCTGCTCTCTCGCCCCTCCATGAAAAGAAAATCTTCTGTCGTCGATGCCGAAAATACACAGCTTCAAGTTTCTTCAGACCCAGAAAACTTGACGTATCTTCAAATCCTGCTCGTCGGGACCAGTCTCAGCGCGACCCTATAACGCAGGGCAACTGCGCTACGTAGACTCTAGCTCCATCCGACGCCGTAGATCGATATTCTGCTCCGCAGAACGCCATCGATCGGCTTCGTGTTGTTACCCTCTGTAGATAATTTCTCAACTCCACCTGACCGGTTCACCGTGCAGACGTTCACCCATCGCGCGGCTACGGCAGGTACCCTAGAAAAACTTGGGTACAGTTCTCAGCTCCGAAAAACGCATTTTTTGCAGTTTCACCGACTAACCATGCTGGTATTTAAACCTTCGCACAGCTCGGTAGGTACCCGTGACCCCAGCTACCGCTCCAGCCGAAAACTTGAAGAATTCCCACCCGAGAAATTCCCGACGTTTAGCGACGCGCCGACGTTCACCCATCATTGCGCCCGTCCAGGTAAATCCCCGAATGAGTCCTCGCAGCCAAGTCTTTGATTATAGCCCCCCAACTCAGGGATAATCCGTGAAGACTCCCGCGTGACTCCAAATTTTCCGTGACGGCAACACGTTTTTCCCACAGCAACAGTAACCCGAAGCTCATTTTGATGAACTACACTCCAGAGAAGGGGTGAATCCGCCGTGTGCCCGTACTCAAGTAAGCGCAAACGCTATCGTAGTTGGGCGAATTAATCAGTCTAATTCGCGGGCAACCGCTTTGCAGCTTACGTGAGGGATTCTCCTTCCCCTCCCTGAAAATACCGTTTCTGCAACAATCTGCTCCAAACTGCTTCAAAATTTCCTCAACTGCTGCAAACTTCATCAACTGCTGCTTCCACAGTAAAAACCTTTGTAGGCCGCTGTTCACCCAGCGCCCACGTTCGTCATCCTCAAAACAGTAGCGCGCACGTTCTTTCGAAAAACTCGCAGCTCTGTCGTTCTCGGCGACACATCCTCGCCGTTCGTATCGGACTCGAGCTCCGCGCACCGTCCGATCGTTGTCGCAAAACTCCTTCGTTATTTTCGTCAACCTGCTTCACGCGCCTTCTACTGTAGAGCGTCTGATTTTCGCCAATCGTTCGCCAGTCGTGTAGCGCCGAAGCAGGCCGCAAATTATCCGGGTGAAATGCCCTGATTGCCTTGATTTTCCGGGTGTTTTTCGGCTTGGTGTTAGAAATCAGACATAAATATTTTTAGGCAGATCCAAAAAGTGAAGCGAAATTTTAACCCTGACAAAAACAGAGTTGCGGGACCCGGAACTCTGAGTCATAAGTGTTGGGATGACAAAATCCCTGGGCTGACAGTGTAAGGAATGAGTAATTCCTTACTGAGGCTTGCTACAAGGCGTACGACTCGTACAGTCCCGAACCATCGCCAAGGTTCCAGACCTATCAGTTCGAGCCTCCTGGGCCTTTCCGGACCTCGCTACGACACATCGAGGCCCTTCGATACTTTTCCCGAACCTTCCGATCCTACGTCCAGGATCACCCTAGGCTTTCTATATATTGTATTGTCTTTCATTTTATTGTCATTCACTCGTTCACAGTTTCGCCATTGCCCTCCGCGCTACTCGGCAGTCCCATTCATAACAGACAGAGTCCTTGTAACAGAGTGCTTGATGTAGAATAATATATTCTATGTATATA